GGTGCGCTTGGGAGGTGTCATTCCCCCACCGCACTCGAAGTCCATGGTGGTAACGATTCTCGTCCCACTAATAATCCCGGAAGTCGCCTTTGGGGAAGCATTTCTTTAAACTCGCGGACCAGATCAGTCGTTGTCGCACCGGTAGTGGGGAGGTGCAGTCGCTTGGAACCAGGATTATGGGGCTGGAGGCATTGGGCCGACGGGCCAGGAGATTCCGCGGTTTGAGTTCTGGAATGTAAAACTCAAGGAGGGTAGGACCTGGTCGGGATGGGCGGCGTGATGTCGTTTGGATAACGAGGGCAGTATACGAAATAAAATATTTCCATCCTTTGTCTTTTTGTAAAAGAAAAGCTTTTAGGTTTTGCAAAACGACATAAACTGTCGTTTTGCAAAAGGTTTGTGAATGAAACACACGCTTACCATGAAAGGTGGGAAATACGCATGTCAAGGAATATAGCAAACGTTAACAAAATCTGAAAAGCGGATCGGACATTTGACCTGTCTACCGCGTCGGTCAGTTGCTTAGGGTTGGGGCTGGGTTGGCGGAGGGTCAAGGGTAACAGAGGGGTCTAGGGTGCCTGGTGCGGAAGATGCAGCTGCGGGTAAGTTTACCTTTGCGGCTGTACCAGGTAAATTTGGGGGCGGATCTTCGAAAATGCCACCTTAAGACGATCGATGGACACCGTTGTTCGGTGACCATTCTGGTTTAAGGTAAAATGCTTAGGAGTTCGTTGGATAACTCTGAAGGGGCCGGTGTAGGGAAGCTGAAGATTGCGACGCACTACGTCTGTACGGACGAAGAGGTGAGTGCAGGTCGAGAGGCCACTGTGCATTTGCACATCGTTGGTCTGCTCACGAGAAGGGGTAGGGCGCAGTGAACGCATGCGTGGAAAAAGAGGCTGCGAAGTTTGACGGTGGCATACACGATGGCGAAGGGGGTGAAATGAACTCTCCTGGCAGCTTAAGCGATGTGCCATATACCAGCTCTACTGGTGCGCACTGCAGGTCAGCTTTGATGCGGTTGCGGATACCTAGAAGTACTAACGGAATGTTTTCGTGCCAGTCAGGGTCAGAAGTGGCACAGAGAGATGGCTTAAGCTGTCGATGAAAGCGTGCGACTAGACCATTCGCCGCTGGATGATATGCCGTCGTGGATACGGCGGCAGCCTAAGAAGTTGCAGAACGTATCGAATTTTGAAGATCCGAAAGGCGTTTCACGGTCGGTAGTGATGGTGGATGAACATCTGTAGTGGAACATCCAACGGTCCAAGAACACACGAATGACTGTTTCGGCCGTACAGTCTGATACAGGGATAGCTTCTGGCAATCTAGTGAAAAGGTTGACACATGTCAGTATGTACACCTATCCGCGAGAGGGAGGTAAGGGTCCTCCCAGGTCTAAGTGTACGTGAGAGAACCGCGAATCTGGCACAGGGAATGAGCCCAATGGATTACGGGTGTGTTGATGTATCTTGGACCGCTGGCAGTGAAGACACGATCGAGCCCAGTTACGGACCTCTTTATTTAGGCTTTGCCAAACGAAACGCTTTGTGACCAGTTTTGAAGATGCCCGAATACCAGGATAATACAGTGAGTGAAGGGAGTCGAAGATTGTGTGTCTAAAAGAGGCGGGCACGAACCGTCTTAGACAAGCTGTGGATGCGTCACAAAGGATAGTTTCGTCCGTAATTTGGAGAGGAACGGGTTGAATATGCAGTGAAGTGGACTGCGGGGTGTGTTGGAGGTCTTCGTCGTGGGTCTGAGCCAATGCCATGGCGGCGAGATCGACAGTGGACTGTGAAGAGTGCAGTTGACGCGAGAGAGCGGGGTTGGCGACACCTCAGATATGATGTACGTCAGCAGTGAGCTGAGTGACAAAGTCTAGGTGTCTAGTTTTCTGTTGTGAATATTTGTCAGAAGATGAGTTGAAGGTGAAAATGAGAGGCTTATGGTCAGTGTAGACCATGAAAGCCCGACCTCCTAATGTGTGTCGAAGTGACGAATAGTTAAGTAAATGGTTAGCAGTTCTCTGTCGAACGTGGCTGTTGAACTGTGCGCTGAGCTTGGCAATTTTGTTGCAAGCGTTTCGTCACCAATCGAGGTGACATCATCAGTGCGTAGTTGAGTGGCATGCAATAGCGTAGCGTAGCGTAGAGGAGCCTTGGCAACAACACTGCCAAGCTCAGCGTACAGTTCGACAGCCATCGGAACAACCTGAGCTACCAGTTTTCATTGCTATAGTCTACCGAACGTGTTATAGCGGGATTCAGCTGGTTGCAAGCGTTTGGAGAAGAAACCGAGCAGTTCCCAATGTCCACCAAGGTGTTGTTGGAGAACAGCTGCTACCGCAACGTCTGAAGCATCAGTTGTCAGAGAAACGGGAGCAGACGTTCGAAGTGAGCGAGGAGAGCTAGGTTGGAGATAGCATTCTTGAGCTCAGTGAAAGCCGTGTGTACTGTGTCGGGAAAAACAAACACATTCGTGTTCTCTAAAGGGGTCAGTCAGAGGCTTCATGGGTTGAGCGCAGCGGGGGATGAACCGTCGGTAGTAGTTGACTAGACCACAAAATCGACCTAGATGTTTAAATGAAGTCGGAGCTGGGAAGTCTTTGATGGATTGAACCTTGTCCACAAGGACCTCGATGCCAGCTGGTGAGACGAGATGGTCTATGAATTCTACCGAGGACTTGTCTAGTTCGCACTTAGTCTGATTGAAGATTACGATGTGTTGGATCAACCGCTGGAAGAGGAGCTAAAGATGAGCTAGATGCTCTTTGTCGAATGAACTGGTCACTAGAATGTCATCGAGGTAGGGGTAGGCGAAATCTAGGCTACATGTGACACCGTGGATAAAGCGTTGAAAAGTCTGTGCGGCTTTGCACAGTCCAAAAGGCATTCGTTAAAATTGGAACAAGCCGAAAAGGGTAATGACGGCTGTTTTAGATATGTGTTTCTCTTCAACAGGTATTTGGTGATAGGCTCGAACAAGATCACTCTCGCTGAAGACCGTCTTACCTGTGAGGTATGCAGTGAGGTCCTGCAAATGTAGGATGAAGTATCTGTCGGGAATCTTAAGTTTGTTTAGGGCTCGGTAGTCACCGCAGGGGCGCCCGTCTCCAGATTTCTGGAGCGGAGTGGAGCAAGGAGTATCGGAAGGGCAGATTATTCCAAGTTCGAGCATGTGCCCAAACTCCGCCGTAGCTAGCTTTAGTTTCTCAGGCGACAGTCGGCGCGGGCGTGATAAAACAGGTGGGCCGTTGGTACGGATATGGTACGTGAGCTGAGATGACACGGGGAGAGATTCGTTCATTGGCTGAACGAGCTTGGGGTACTGAGAGAATAGTTGGGCATAGTCGGAAGAAGTCTGTGGGCAAACGTAGACTGAGGTGATAGCTGCAATGCCGACGTTGGTGCCAGCGACGCTGAGCGTCGTTGCGGGGTCGACTATCCTCTGTTGTTTCGCATCGACCAAGAGGTCGAAATATCTGAAGAAGTCTATGTCGATGATGGTAAACGAGATGGCGGCAATAATGAACACTCAGCGAAAAGTTCTACGGAGACTTAAGTTAAGGGTTAAAGAACGCTGGCCGTAAGTTGGGATTAGTGTGCCGTTGGCGGCACGAAGACTGAGAGTAACCGGCTGGGTCGCCTCACCAGGTGCAGGAGGAACCAGGCTTACTTCAGCCCAGTATCGACGAGGAACGCTGTTCCAGATTTGCAGTCCCGAACATAAAGGCGACTGCCGCCGGGAGGAGCATTAACGCTAGTCGCCTTTACCTCATGGTCCGAGAGTTTCCCTGTTGAGTCGCATTAAAAGTGCAGGGTGTGATATAGCGCTTGGCTTGTGCACCGAATCGGCGGTGGTACCAGCAGTCGTTACGGTTAGGCGACTTGCTAAGTGGGCGGCGTACGTTATTGATAGACCTGTTAAAATCACGGCGCAAAGCAGCTAGTTCCGCTAAAATAGTCGTACATTCCTGTGAAGTATGGGCAGACTGGGAGGGGTATGAGCAACAAGGAACAGGTACGCTATTTTGAGTGTAAGGTGACTGTGGCGAGGGGAATTGCAAATTTAGCTGGGGACGAAAACGAGCAACTACTACGTCAACTATTTGAGGGGCGTCACCTGGTGATTGAAGTTGAATCGCGGTAAGAATATCTTGGGCTGTTTCTGGTAAACGCTGTAACCAGAGTTCGCGCAATAATGACCCGTTTATGAAATATGTACCGAGCATTTGGCGCATCTCACTCAGTAGCTCTGAGGGTTTTTGTCAACCGAGCATACAGAAGCGAAACGTTGCCGAACCCAACGTGTATCGTACGAGCTATAAGGAACTGAAAGTCAATTAGCGAAGCATGAAGCGATGAACCGCAGAACTCACACGAAATGAAAGTGAACCAGATGTGCCGTCAGGAAAACAATCGAAAAATACGAACGAGAATAAAATCCAATGTCACAAAATACTGAAAGCGTAAATGCTTCGCTGTCACTACAGAAGCCCACAAATTTTCGTTTTAATGGACGAACTCGTGGGTTACATATATAGGGGCTTACTTACTCTTACTGAAATTTCCAAATCTTAACGCAAAATACATGCAACCATATGCCTATTTATCTTCCATGTCGGTAGATATGCACTCTTAAGATTCTCCCGTTTTTATCACCCGCATTTAATGCAAAGGAGCACAACACTGCTCCCGCACATCAGTTTGTGTTCTCTCAGCTACACACAAGTGGAACGACATCGCAGGTAGCAATTCCATCAACCAACATCAAATAATTCTTTGTACCAACTTAAGGGCGTTATGCACTCACCTAAAGTGATAATTTATTTTCATCTGACATTTTACACTGAATTTTCTCGCGTCAGATGGTGAAATGCTACCTGTTCGGGTGCGTAGGAGTCTGTCTAGTTGTAATTGCGATGGAAGATACATACATATGAATATCGTTCCGGACTATATGAGACAGTGACGTATCTGCCTCAACCCTAAACGCAGGTTTTATTCACCAAGAAGAGCGTTCTTCTTGGAATTCTGAAGGGCGAAGTTCCTCTTGCCAACCCCGCGATTGCCACCGCAGCCACTTTGACATGCATGCTAATGGAATCTGAAAACCTCGGTCTTTGTAACGTTTGGCCTCAAGACAACAAGAAGGAGCACCTGGACTACTATTGCGAGGTGAGTGCAATCAAACAGACATAATTTCAACTATAGTATCATCCCCACTGTCAACTGAACATTGAGCCAACTGAGCACAGGAAAGTTTCGAGCCAGATTCTTTATATCAACTTAAGTAGACTACGGCGTTCGGATTTGCTTTGCTAGATCCGTAGACGCGCAACTATCCAACAGCTGTATGATAGCGCTTTTTATAATCTTCTCTACAGTGTGCAGTATAGTTAGTTGGGTCTGTTAATGTTGTATTCCGAAAAAGCAGCAGACCAGAGCAGCACCGGAACGTATGTATGGAAAAAAACTGTCCGCACACACGCGCAGTACAATTAAATCGATAGAGGTTCGCGTTGCAACCAATCAAATTCAAGATCATATGAAAGGCCAACGAGTGCTAAATAAAAGTGTGAGTAGGATAAGCGAATGGACGGCAAAAACGAAGCGAAGTATTTGAACAAGACAACTAACTATGATCCATGAAACTTAAGCACGGCCCACATCACCAACATAATAAATTGTAACAACAATAGCTCAGGTTTAATAGGCAAGAAAAAATTGTCGGACGGAATAGTTAAGGGTCAGAAATCACGGAACGAATGCTAATGCTCCAGCGACTCCGTAGCTGCACTAAATCCGGCCCGATGAACTCATCCAGGAGGAAAACAATAACCAACCCGATTCAGTATCTCGGTGCGTTTCTCCATGCTCACTTCTTCGACTGACGCGGTCGGGGTTTCACCCAACTAAGAGGCATCGTTCCAAACAATACACACCGAGGCAGCACGCTTGTGGGCATGCTGAATACTCTATTGTCGGAGTAAGTAGAAATTTCAATTGGTACAACCCTGTAGAAATATGAGCAAAAATGTTAGAAGGGAAAATATTGGAAGTGGTTTATCAGTACTCTAATCGTTTTCAATTTCCAACGTGACATCGTTGTGACTCACAGTAACTCGGGTCATTGTCAGTGAGTAATCGTTCTCGGCATCTAACAAAAGAAAGTGCAAATCCATCAAGATTTTGAATTGCTGCACCGAGTTGGTTTCCGCTATGTGTTCCGGCAGACTGTTCCAAACACTGACCACTCGACGTTCAAAGCACAGAGGGTGGAGAACTCGTTTCAGCTCTGACACTACAAACTTGGCCCAGTGCCCGCTTGCGTCGTAGCATGTTTCCAGCTGTAGCAGCTGCCTCAGCACGGGTAGTCACCGAGCTGTAGAATACGGCAGCCTTAGTGAAGCCGACTCACACTGCACTGGCTTTCGTACGGCAAACGCTGTAAGCTCGGGATAAGTCTGGTAGCGACGTGCTGGATCCGCTCGATCTGCGCCTCACCTCAGGTGATCGGACAGCGCGTGAGCCAGCCGTACTGTAGCATTAGTCGTATAATGGAGAAGAGGTAAGTACATGCTCGAGTATAAGCTGACTTGCCGTCACGAGGCGACGAAACTGGCCGTATGATTGGGATGAGTAACGCAGGGTGCTCCTTCGTTCTTGCTCTGTGTGATTCAACCCGTGTGGCAAATCTATGTTACTGACGGCCACTGTTTCCATCAACTCGTGTTAAAGTCTGCATGTGCGGAACTAAGGCAAGCTTGTGCAAGCAGTAAAAGATAACAGAACACACTGAGCTGGCAGCACTCAACGTGTATTCCGGAAAGAACGTTTACAGAGCAACAATCAAGTAACTGAAGCCAAGTCATTAGATAGCCAGACATACACGCGAACAGTCAACGCTGGGTGTGCAAACCGAATGGATATGGTGACTCATGCGCCACATCATGCCACACAAGAGTCTCGTGGATAGCGTGGCCACAGCCGTCTGTCAAGGGTGATGAGCGGAATCATCAGCCACGTGCAAACACCATCGTCCAAGTATGGTTAGCGGCATCCGGTTTCGGATTTGTCTGACACTGTGGCCAGCCACAGGACGCCTGCGCCTACAGAGGGACCATGGATGGCTTGCGCTGCACCACCCACAGCTCCATCCACATACCCCATATCCAGTGTAAACCCGAAGGAATAAGACTGGGAGGCATGTGGATGGGAGCCACATTTCATCAATGGAGCCGGCCCACACTCCTTCACAGACAAACACAAGCACACTGTATTTAGGGAATCAACCGCACACAAGGCGGTGGCAGGACCGTAGTCCGCTCCAACTGAGTGCATGGAACCACTCTTCGAGCCTAGCACGACCACAGGGACCGTGCACCCCGTCTCCTCCGGCAATGACCAACTGTGTCCTGGAGCCAGATGGACGAGGTAGTCGGTAATAGACAGGTAGGCACCTTGTCAATATGCACATCAAGCGCAGCCACACATGGGATGTCAAACAACAGCCAACCATTCGAAATGCTGATATCGAATAAAGTAGACGCATATGACGACATAAATTCTCGCTAAATGAGCATACGGAAGAAATTGGTTAAATGTGAATACGCAATAAGTACAAAATGTCCGAAAGTTATTTAAAAAATACCACGCGATAAAATTACGCAAGCTTACCACAATTTGCATGAGCGACGTGTGTAGGTTGGAAGTTTATCAAGTACGCAGAACAAACCAAATAAAATGTAATGAATTTTATCCACATTAAACAGACCTAGTTTAAGTGTAAGTCGGTTTAGCCCAACTGCGGTGAAGAAGCATCATGAATGCGACATCAGTCTCAGCATGGGGCACATCGTCCAAGTATAGGCTATTCCTTATCCACCGACAGTGATGAATAAGTGTTGACACCACCAAGGTGAGGATCTGGTTGATAGCATTCGCGCTACCATTAGGAGACTTAGAATGAAGGCTCAGAACTCAGTGTACCCTAACCATACGTACGGACACCAGCTTTTAACCGATTGAACCAACAGCATTAGAAGGCCAGGATAAAAGTGACATCAAGACAATCGCTTTTGCGTAGTGGATCTAAATCGAACCCGTAAAGAGCTTGTGCAAGACAGTGGGTGGCTCTGAATCGCTAGAATAACCGCTGCAGACTGTATATGTGGGTGGCTCCAAGCACACTCAAATAACCCAAGATGACCAGGTACGCGGCATTTCGTGTATAGGTTGTATCAATGGGACGGCGTGATGGATGACCAAGCTTAACTGAGGAGGTTAAAGACCCAACCCGATCAATTTCTTTTCATTAAGAAGTGGTGAGACAACTGCCTGGTGCACAACGATGAGGTCGAACCAAATTCCGTGGTTATACAAATCAAAAAGAACATGTGAAATAGATATTCGTTTTTATTGATTACAGTGACTGTACAACACGTTAGTAAATGAAGATGGTCGGTGGTCCATTAAACCCAAACCATAAACCGACAATCATAACTTCAGGATAGTTGGATTGGCTCGGATAAAGCTATTATGCCTAATATTTAAGGAACTAGATCAGAATCCGCATAAGGTAAAACTCTGCAAGTTGGCAGATGGGTAATATTTCTCCCGGTATCCATTTCACCAAAGAGGAGGACAAGAATGACCAGTTGCCATTCTTGGACGTGCTCGTGAAAAGACATACTTCCGGACCCCTGGAAACAAGTTTATCGAAAAGCGACGCACACCGATCAGGTCTTGAACTATTGCAGTAACCACCCGGCCATTTACAAGCGCAGTAGAGTGGAGACACTTTTCAAACGAGTCCAAACACACTGCACTACGCTGCAACTGAGGAAGGCGAGGTAAGCTCATGTATTTAACATGTCTCATCGGAATTCGTGCCCTAAAAGTTTTATTCTACGCTGCCTGATGTCAAAGAATCAACCACACCCCGCAATTGAAAGGAAAATGATCGTCCTATCTTACATCCATGGAATTCATGAGGTGGTAGGAAGGCTTTTAATGCTTCAGAGGACCAAGGGTACACATGAAGCAACGGAAATTATTCGGAGTAAACCATCCAAGATAAAGGGCCAACTGAGTAAAGAAGAAACATTTGGTGGGATTTGCAAAATTTGCTGCGAAAACTGTGACAAGTACTACGTGGGCCAGACACGGAGTAAACTTGGTACAAGACTATATGAACACAGTCTGGCCATCCGCTACCATGATGAAAAATCACTAATGTCAGCACATATGGATGCCGAAGTCCATCAGTTCGATCTGGGGAACATCAAGATACTTGGAAGAGCAAAGGACCGCAGAGCGCGTGAGTTCCTCGAGGCCTGGCATTCGGGCCAGAACACAATAAACAAACACCTGGAACTAGTGAGGTCTACGAAGCTCTGCAGGTAAGCTCAGCAATAAGTATCAGATAGACAGGGCGAAGACGTGACCACTTGGCCGACACCGCGGGCCAATCGAAGGCACATTCAAAGCAGGAGACGATCAAAAGTCACTTGGATCTGGCAGCGGCTTACGAGACTGCGAATCAAACCTCGACAGCCGCACTGAGGATGTTGCCTAACCTGGCAACGAAGCGTCTGCAACAAAATTGTATAGCTCGGAGAACACAACAACCCTCATCCTCAGTATACAACTTATCTAGAGATGGAAAACACCCCAGCCACTGGGTAGCAATATATAAAAAACACATCCAACAGAGGCATGCCAGCTGAGCTACTCCTAACGAATGGGCATTGTAACGGAAATCGAACAAGCGGCTATTGTGCCGCAAAAAAGGAGTTATATTATGTCTAATAAATCAGATCGTGGTTGGAGGGGGAGGCTAACGGGAGGAGCAGGGACAAGAAACTCACTACACGAACACCACTGAGGTCAGCAGACAATGCATACAGGATATGGCTCATAGTCGGCATTAGTGGTGCGTCTGTTGTCATATCCTAGTCAGATTACATATCTATAGCATTTTTCGATTGATTTCAAAATTAACGCAATCTATTTAATTTTTACTCACCAGGTTTCGTCCGTAATGCAGAAAATTTAATCAAATAGCCATCCAAATTTAATCCAGATCGCACTGACTAGTCAGCCGTGGACCTCGCATGAGAGACCTTACGTACGTGTGGAATGTGTGAGCAGTGTAAAAATTTCGGGGTCATTAC